GCTGTATTGTGAAATTTATGAAGAAAAAAAGAAACATACAATTCAGACAAAGCTCACCATGTTTTTGAAAAAACCAACTCCGATAACCCCAACTGCTGCCTCAGATGATGACATCAATGATCTGCAGCCAAGCACCAGCGGCCAATAAAATGTTTCGTACATGTTTATATATTTTGATATGTTTTGCAATTGGGAAAATGTTTCCTATGGTATTTTTTACACCTGTATTTTGTATTTTTGTATGCACCTGTATTTTGTAATTTTGTATGTTTTGCAAATATTCAACCAGTTGTACTGGTAATGCAGTGTTTTACTTAAACTTGATGAATGTAAAAATAAGAAACAAAATGTGTAGAGATGATACAAATGGCATTAAATGAACAAAATTATGATATATAACAATGAAAGAAAATTATGATAAAATATGACTTAAAGATTTTTATAACATCATTTCACAGTACTGTACATATAGCCTACTCAACTTATGACCAAATCGTGTTACGACCGGTCTGTCGGAACCAATCGTGGTCGTAAGTCAAGCACTAGCTATATTTTGAACCTCCCTTTTAATAACTTCCAAATTAGACAAAAATTATTCTTTTTCCCAATAAAGAACACACTTTCTGTGGCACATTTTATATAAATCTAGAGAGCAAGAAATTCTGAACTGCCCTTCAGACACTGGCATTCTGTAGATGAGAACCATTTTACAACTTTAAGATTTTCAACTATACAAAAGCTCACTGTTTTAAAGCCATCCTAACCATTCTAAAAGCTACAAACATCACAGGTTTATCTAGGTAAAAATCTTTAAGTTAAATTTTAGAAGATATTCCCTTCAAAATAATTAGTCTTACTTTTTAATTTGTGAGTTCTCTTTTATTTGTAAGCCAATTTGATAGCATGCTAAATACAACACACATCATACAAATGAAGTGACCTTACGCAAGACAGATGGATCCAATTACTTATAAAATTGGGACCTGTCTACCTCAACAAATTTTGTTTACCCAGATATGTAGGGAAGACAGGAAGAGGCAGGAAAGGGGACCCTGTAGCATCAAATAAGGAAGGGAGGAGGTAAACCATGTTGCTCTGGTGGCTCAGAGTCCTTGAGCCACCAAAGAAAAATGTTTGGGTGGCCACTTGTCTGCCACTGCAGGAAGCTGTCTGTTGGGTCTTGGGTCCAGGAGACTGAGTAATTTTACTTGAGCAAGGTGGCTCGTTGGGACATATGGAAGAAGGTTAGTTCTAAGATTGATGGGGAGCTTTTTTGTTGGGGATGATTAGGACATTCTCATTATAAATGGTCCTTTTGCTTATGGTAGGCACATTGATTCTGGACCAGGAGCCAGTGAGTTGCCGATCTTGTGACACTTTCTCCGGATTGGTAATTGCAAGGTGGCAGGGGGCTTAAAGTAACAGTTAACGATTGCACTTTTTGGCTATTTCTTTTCTTTTTTGAGACAGGGTCTCACTCTAGTTGCCCAGGCTGGAGTTGCAGTGGCATGATCTCAGCTTACTGCAGCCTCCTGGGCTCAGGTGATTCTCCCCACCTCAGCCTCCTGAATAGCTGGGACCACAGGCACGTACCACCATGCAGAACTAATTTTTCATATTTTTAGTAGAGACAGAGTTTCGTCATGTTGCTCAGGCTGGAGCTATTTCTTTTGTCTTTTTTTTTTTTTTTCAACTCTTTTGCCTGTCCCTATTATTGTAAATTTTAAAGGTCAAGTTTACATATTGGCTCATAGAGGTTTGAGGTTCCATTGCTAATTTTTTTAACCTCCTCCTAATTTCAGGGGCAAGTTGAGTAATAAAATGCATACCCAGGAGAGTTTGCCCTACTGGGGAGTCTGGGTCTGCATTAGTATATTTCCTGAGTGCCTCAACAAAACAACCCTGAAAGAGAATGGGTTTTTCATCTTTTCCCTGAGTTACTTTTCTAACTTTGCCGTAATTGGTTGGCTTAACTACACACTTTTTTGTCCACCATTTTTTCCCATGGCACAGCAAGGAGACAACAATACTTGCAAGTCATGGCAAGTTAAATTTAAACATGTTAACAAATTCTTCCATAAAATTTTCTAGATTCTCTGAAAACTGGCCATATTTTTTTGCATAAAGCCAAATCTGACATTGAAAATGACACATGTATTCTAAGTATTACCCCATTTCCATCAGCCACCTCCTACAATGGACACAAGTTTTATTTTAGAGGTTGATATGGGGCCCCACTATTGGTGGTACTGGTTAGGCTTACTACCTTGGGAAGTGAGGAGTATAGACTGGGGCTAGCTGGATAAGGGTGGCTGATGACCTTGGGGTGGACTCCCTCAGAACTGGGGTACTAAGGAGACTCCAGGAAAGATGTAGGCTTTCTAGGGGGAGCAGCTAGGAGGGGAACCCTTAGGCATGGCTTCCTGGTTTCTGGAAGTAACATGAGCCATAAAAGGGCCATAAATGCCTGTATATAAGAGACCTCCTCCCATTTTCCTTCTTTTCTGCAGAATAAACCCAATTGTAAAATAGCATTGTAATATATAGAACCAAATCTATATATTAGGCCAAATCTCTTGATTTTCTAATTTGTTTTGGACCCAAGTGGTGCTGCAATTATAAATGAGTCTCTTTTTCTTTAAGTTGAATTTCAACTTGCTCCCACAGCCTAAAAGACACCCTAGTGGGGAGTATTCTGGGATGTTCATCATTGTCTCCATGTCCAACAAGAATTTATACTGGACATAGAAGTCTTTCTTTTTAATTTTAATTTAATTTTTTTTTAAGTGGAGTTTCCCTCTTGTTGCCCAGGCTGGAGTGCAATGGCATGATCTTGGCTCACTGCAACCTCTGTTTCCTGGGTTCAAGCAATTTTCCTGCCTCAGCCTCTTGAGAAGCTGGGATTACAGGCATACACCATCATGCCCAGCTATTTTGTATTTTTTTCTTACTAGAGACAGTGTTTCACCGTGTTGGTCAGGCTGATCTCGAACTCTTGACCTCAAGTGATCCATCCATCCATCTCAGCCTCCCAAAGTGCTGGGATTGCAGGGGTGAGCCAGAAGTTTTTCTAAGTCTAGTGAGAGGGAAAGCAGCTGGGCTATCATTATCTTTCCCTTTTAGATTCTCACTTCCTGCAGAAGTGTAAGCAAGGCATTATGAAAGTGGAACAGGCGTTTTCCAGTGGATGAAGTATGACAAGAAAAGTATTTTTATCAAGCAAAATGTAGAAGGAAAGAAAAGTGTAAATGAAGTGACAATAAGAAAAGAAAATGCTCTTACGGAAAATAATAACTTTAAGGCAGAAAACAAGAAACGGCAAGACCAAGATTCTCCTAGGGTTGGTCTCTGTCTCACCATCCTGAGAGGGAGTGCCAATGACAAAAACCCTTGGAGTGTCTAGGGGGCAGCCAACAGTGAACCCCAAAGGCCTGGTTGGGGCCACAGAGCAACATGACTGGTGTTCCAGGGTCAACACAACAGGGGACCTCTCAAAGACAAGTGTTTTGCTTTAAACAAGTGCCCAAATACAGTCTATCAGGGAACAAAGCAAAAACTACAAATGAAACATCCATTTCAGAGCAAAAATTACAATAAAATAAAAGGCTGGGCATGGTGGCTCATGCCTGTCACCTTTGCAGTTTGGGAGGCTGAAGCGTGTGGATTGCTTGAGCTCAGCCCAGCCCAGCCTCTGGCTAGTCCTACAGCTCTGCAGCTTTTATTGCTGTAGCGCCAATCACCTTCTCCCTTACTCCCATTCATTGTCTTGCTGCTTCTCATTGCCTCTCTCTGATTGCTGCCTCTCCTGTCTCACCGTCTTGCCAATTGCTGTCTACCTGAGTGCCATTTCTCACCGTCTCTCATTGCTTCACCCCTTTGCCAATCACTGGTCACCAGTCTCACTGTCAATCACTGTCTCTCACCATCTGTCCACTGACTGCTGCCATCTCTGCTGTCACATCACTTCTCTGCTGATCACTCATCACCACTGTCTCACTGCCACTTCACCAATCACCAATAGCTGCATCTCTGCTGTCTTTGTCGTCTTTGTGGTCACCATATGATACAGAACAGGTGAGCCCCAAAATTGGGGCTTAGCTTGGGAGAGTTCTTGGCTTCACCCAGGGAAGAATTCAAGGGCAAGCCAGTGGTGTTAAACAATAGCAACTTTTACTGAACGGTGTAGCTCCTTGCAGAGCAGGGCTGACTCACTGGCAGTGCACCCAGAGCAAGAAATGTGTGGGCTCTTGGCAATTGTGTTTATATTCACTTAAACACATTTTCAATTATATTCAAATTAAGAAGTAAGTCAATGCAAATTGAGGGGCTGGTTATTCAGAACTTTCTAGGAAAGGGGAAGTCTAACTTCTGAGTTGTTGCCATGGAATTTGTAAAATGTCTTGGTACTTGTGGGAGTGTCTTACACTAATGAAAAATGAGGGCAGCCAGGGATCACTTTCCTTACTAGCTACTGGTTCCTGCCAGTTGCCTCACTTTGTTCTGTCTAGATCAGATCCTGTTTTGGTCAGCAGTGTTTTGATCAGAAAACAAGTCCTACTGGTCTCCTACCTCAGAAAGAGCATACAATTGGCTAATTTGAATAATCTGGTGGGTGTGGGGGCATAGGGACTGTCCCTCGTTGTCTAGTACCTGGCCTGATTTTATTCAGGGCAGGAGAAATACTGGTTTGGTGTGTGAGGGTTAGATAAGAAAGTAGTTCAGAGTATGGGCTCTGGATCACAGGAAAGATGGAAACAACTTTAGCCATTAGTTTGGCGCTTAGGTTAATGGGTGCTATATAAACAAATACAGAATCTAAGTAAACACAATGCAGTGCTCTGAACCAATGACCTACATGTGATGTTTTCTCTGTTTTGGTCTTAATACAACAGTCTAGGAACCAATGGTTAGAGGTGGGAGTGGCTTCTCTTACTTATATGCAATGACCATCTGTCTTCAACTGTTTGGGCTGCTAAAACAAAGCACCATACGCTGGGTGATTTATGAACAACAGAAGTTTATTTCTCACAGTTCTGAAGCCTGGGAAGTTCAAGATCAAGGCACTATCAGATTCGGTATCTGGGGAGGACCATTTCTGCGTTCACAGATGGCGTCTTCTTGCTGCATCCTCACATGGGGGAAGGGGCAAGGCAGCTCTCCAGGCCCTTTTTAATAAAGGCACTGATCTCATTCACGACAGTTCCAACCTCATGAATAATCATCTCTCCCCAAGCCCTATCTCCTAGTTCTATCACATTGTGGGTTGGGATTTCAACCTACGAATTTTAGGGAGACAAACATTTAGACCATAGCACCATCTCATTACTTTTTTCATATCTTATTGGACATAGTTTTAGACTTACAGAGAACTTGCAAAAGTAGTACAAAGAGTTCTTAAATACTCCTCACTTGGCTTCTCCTAATGGCAGAGGCAGCCCATCTGGAGCCACAGCTGTGAAGATGCAGGCTGCAGCATGGGAGTTGTAGCAAAGGAGGTGCAGTGGAGGATGCACAGCAAGGCTGTGAGCCCGAAGGAGCCAGCTCCCGCTAGGGAATACACAAAGGCCTTGCCCCATACTGAGTTGGTGGGACAGGAGCCAGAGCCCCTGGTGCAGCTGCAGTCACCCAGCCGCAGTTCCAGACCCCAGCTTCCCTGTGCTTTTGGAAGCCCAGGAAGCCTCTTGCCCTCAAAGGCTTGAAAGTGTCTGCTCCCACTCCCTGGCCTCTCCTTGCTCCTGGCACGCGCTCTGGGGTGGAGCATAGTTGTGGCCGAGCCTGGGCACTGACACGCCAGCCCCCTGCTGCCTCGGCTGCCTCCAGACTTTGGGCACTGATAAGCATGGGAGGGAGGCCAGGGCCAGCTGGGTTCAGGCCTGCAGGTGCCCCTCAGCAAGAACATCCTGGGCACTGTGGACAGCACGTTGATGGTGGCAGGAGGCAGACTGGCTCCTGGGTGGAAAGGGGTGGGTCCAGTGAAACCCTACCTTCAAGTCAGGGACTGCCTGAAGCCTGGGGACTGGGCTGCCAGTTCTGGGTGGAGTCCAAAGTCAGAAGTGAAAATTTATGGTGTTTTTTTCCAGGCCTGCCCATGGCCATCCATGGACCAATCAGCACGACTTCCTCCCTTCTGAGCCCATAAACACCCAGGACTCAGCCAGACTCCAGCAGACTTCAGGAGTGCCAGCAGAGGGAAGGAACTACACACTTTGGGTCTCCTGGGCTCTTCAGGATGACCTGCCTGCAGAAAGGAGCTACCTACTGGGGTCTCCTCTCTGCTGAGAGCTGGACATTTGTGGAGACGACCTGGCTGCAGAAGGGAGCTACTCACTTTGGGTCTCCTGAGAGCTGTTCTGTTGCTCAATGAAGCTCCTCTCCATTTTGCTCATCCTCCAGTTGTCCATGTGCTTTGTTCTTCCTGGTCTCAGGACAAGAACTCAGGACCTGCCAGATGGCAGGACTGAAAGAGTGTAACACAAACAGGACTAAAACACACCTCCACCACACATACCCCTTGCCATGCTGTGAGAGATGAGAAGGAGAGAAGAGCTGAGGCCCTTTGAGTGCCCCAGACCAGGAGCTCCCCAAGCCAGGGCCGTGACAGCCTCTTTTGGGCTCTGTGGTTCCTGGCATCTCCAAGCTTCTGGGTGCCACTGTGTTCCCCTCGTCCAGATGCAGGAGCTCACAGTGCAAGCTGTGTGTGATACATCTGGTCCAGCTGCAGCCTTGCATGGAGCCAGCACATGTGTCGACACCTAGAGCTGCCTGCCCTGCAGCAGCAGCCAGTATGACTGGTCTGTGCAGTGTCTAGACCCCACACTCGCTGGTGCACACACCCGTTGCTTGCCTTTGGCAGGTGTGGGCTCTGGGCTGCTGGCACTAGCCAAACACAGCCTGCCAGGCCGAGTGGGCGGAAGGAGCCCAGTGGGTGCAAAGCCCAGGTATAGGCACCGCAGGCCACAGAAGTTTCCAGCTGACGAAGCGGCACCCTAAGGATTATGACACTAATGTTACAGTCTTCCATATCCATAGTCCAATGATCAAAACGAGGAAATCTACACTGATAAAATAAGACCAACTGACTGATCTTTAGTTGTTATTAGACTTTTGCCAGTTTTCCCCTGAATGCCCTTTTGCTGGTCTAGGACTGACTCCAGGCTCTCACATTGCATCAGGTTTCCATGCCTTCTAGTCTTCTGTCTGTGACGCTTGCTCTGTGATTCTGCGATGACTGTGACTTGAGCACTGGCCATTATTTTGTTGAATATCTCTCCATTAGGATTTGGCTGATGTTTTCTCCTAATTAGATGGATGGTATGTATTTTTGGCAAGAATGTCACATAAGTGCTCTTGTGCCCTTCTCAATGCAGCACATTACTGCTCCGACTGCTGCTGGTTTGCACTGATCACTTGCTTAAGGTGGTGTCTGTCATCGTCAGAGTTCTTCACTGTGAAGTTACTAGTCTTTATTTTGTAACCATAAGTGTCTTATAGGGAACTATTTTGAGACTATGCAAATAACCTGTTCCTCATCATGCTTTTGCCCATGTATTTGAGCACTGATTCATGATTCTTGCCCGAAACAATTATTATTATGTGTTTGCCTAATGGTGATTTTCTATTTCCATCATTCTTTCTACATTTCTTTTCTTTTCTGAGACAGGGTTTCACTCTGCTGCACAAACTGGAGTATAGTAGGGCACTCAGGGCTCACTGCAACCTTGACCTTCTGGGCTCAAGCAATCCTCCTGCCTCAGCCTCCTAAGTAGCTAGGATTACAGGCACACACTATCATGCCCAGTTAATTGAAAAAATTTTTTGTAGAGATGAGGTCTTATTATATTGCCCAGGCTATACATTTTAAAATTTGCATTCTGGGGCTGTTATTTCTCCCTAATTTATTTATTCAACTATTTATTTACATCAACATAGGCTTATGGATATTTACTGTAAAGATTTTAATTTAGGCCAGGCATGGTGGCTCATACCTGTAATCCCAGCACTTTGAGGTGGACAGATCACTTGAGTCCAGAAGTTTGAGATGAGCCTGGGAAAAATGCTAAGACCCTATCTCTATTAAAACTACAAAAAACTAGCCAGGTGTGGTGGTGCAAGCCTGCAGTCCCAGCTACTCAGGAGATTGAGGTGGGAGGATCACTTGAGCCTGGGAGGTCAAGGCTGCAGTGAGCCCTGATCATGCCACTGTACTCCACTTTGGGTCATAGAGTGAAACCCTATCTCAAAATTAAAAAAAAATTTATTACTCTCATTGTTTATTTTGTTGCTCAATTTGTTCCAGATATGGCCATTGAGATGTCTTTCAATTTTGCTGCTTTTGTACATTCATCATTTAAAAAAATCTTATATCAATATTTATTTCACCTATTATAAAATTCTCCCTTTTAGCTGGGCATGGTGGCATGCATCTGTAGTCTCAGCTACTCAGGAGACTCAGGTGGAAGGATCCCTTGCCTCCAAGACTTCAAGATCAGCCTTGGCAACATAGCAAGACCCCATCTCAAAAAAAAAAATCCCTTTAAAGTGTAAAATTTAGTCATCTCAATATATTTATAAGACTCTGGAATCATCACAGCTATCTAATTCCAAAATATTTTCATTACCCCAAAAGGAAATGCCGTATCTGTTTGGTCACTTCTATTTCTCATTTTCCCCAGCCTCTGGCACCACTAATTTTCTTTCTTTCTTTAAGAATTTGCCTGATTTGGACATTTCATATAAATTGAAACATATAATATGTGGCTTTTTTGTGTCTGGCTTCTTCTTTCACTTAGCATAGTATTTTTAAGGTTCAACCATGGTGCTGCATGTATCAGTATTTCATTCCTTATCATGAGTGAATAATATGACATTGTATGGCTAAACTACATGTTGTTTCTCCATTTACCCATTGGTGTATATTGGTTTGTGCTGTGGTTTGAATATTTGTGTCCCTTCCAAACTTCATGTTGAAATTTAATCCGCAATGCAGTAGTATTGAGAGGGAGGATCTTTGGGAGCTGATTAGGCCATGAGTGACCACTGAGGACACTACAATAATGTGCCGTCTCGGAAGCAGAGACTGAACCCTTCCCAGACACCAAGGTTGCTGGAGACCTGATCTTGGATGTCCCAGCTTTCAGAATTGTGAGAAATAATGTTTTATTGTTTATAAATCAGCCGGTCTGTAGTATTTTGTTATAGCAGCACAAGCGGACTAAAACAGGTTATTTCCACCATGCCCGACTAATTTTTGTATTTTTAGTAGAGACCGGGCTTCACCATGTTGGCCAGGCTGGTCTGGAACTCCTGACCTCAGGTGATCCAACCGCCTCGCCCTCCCAAAGTGCTGGGATTACGGGTGTGAACCACTGCCACTGGCGCGATGATCCATTTTGAGTTAATTTTGTATGAGCTGTGAAACCTGGGCTACACTTCATTGTTTACCTGTGTCTGTCTAGTTGCTCCAGCACCATTTCTTGAAAAGACTGATCCTCCACCTGCTTTTGGGCCTTTGTTAAAAACCAGTTGAATATATTTATTTAGGTCTTTTTCTGGGTTCTTTATTCTGTTCCATTGATCTGTGTGTCCATCTCTCCACCAGTACCATAATGTTTTCATTAGTATAGCTAACAGTAATCTTGAAATTAGGTAGAGTGATTTTTCCCACTTTATTATTCTTTTTCAGTTTTAACTATTTTAGAGCCTATGCCTTTCCATATAAATCACAGAACAAACTGTCTGTGTCAACAGAATTCCATCCTGGAATTTTAACAGGAATTACATTAAAGCTACAGATCAGCTTGAGTCCAGGAGCTTGAGGCTGCAGTGAGCCATGATTGCACCACTGCACTCCAGCCTGGCAACAGAGCAAGACCCCGACTCTAAAACAAAGCAAAAAAAACCCTATAAATCAATTTAGGGATAATTGATGTTTGCTATGTTACATCTTTAAATACATGAACACAATATGCCTCTCCATTTATTTAGGTCTTTTATTTCTTTCATTAGCACTTAATTTTCAGCAAAAGGCTGGGCGTGGTGGCTCACACCTGTACTCCCAGCACTTTGGGAAGCCAAGGCGGGTGAATCATGAGGTCAGGAGTTCAAGACCAGCCTGGCCAACATGGTAAAACACCGTCTGTACTAAAAATACAAAAATTAGCTGGGCATGGTGGCACATGTCTGTAATCCCAGCTACTCAGGAGGCTGAGGGAGTAGAATTGCTTGAACCAGGACCTGGGAGGTGGAGGTTGCAGTGAGCTGAGATCCCGCCACTGCACTCCCGCCTGGGCTACAGAGCAAGACTCTGTACCCCCTATTCAAAAAAAATTTCAGCAAACATATCCTACACATATTTCATTAGGCTTATACCTGAGTATTTCATTTTCTTTTTTTCTTTTTTCTTTTTTAGTTTCATCTAATAAAGCAGAGTATTTTATTTTATTTGGAATGAGTGTATGTAGTATTGTGTTTTAAATTTTGGTTTCCATATGTTCATTTTTAGTATATAAAAATGTGAGTAATTTTATGTTACTCTTCATCTGCAAATTTGCTGAACTGACTTAATTAGTTCTAGGAGGTTTTCTGTTGTTTTTTTACTTTGTTTGTGGTGATTTTTGCCATGCAATTTTTAAAAATGTAGTCAAGCTATCATTCTTTTCTTTTCTTGTCCATGGATTTTTTTTAATTTATTTTTATTTATTTATTTATTTATTTTTTGAGTCAGAGTCTCCCTTGGTCACCCAGGCTGGAGTGCAGTGGTGCAATCTCGTCTCACTGCAACTTCTGCCTCCTAGGCTCAAGCAGTGCTCCCACCTCAGCCTCCTGAGTAGCTGGGACCACAGGCAGGCACCACGACGCTCAGCTAATTTTTGTACTTTTTGTAGAGAAGGTGTTTCACCATGTTGCCCAGGCTGGTCTGAAACTTCTGGGCTCAAGCGATCTGCCATCCTCAGCCTCCCTAAGTGCTGGGACTACAGGTGTGCACCACTGCCCCTAGAGGATTTTATTTTTTTTAACATGAAGTCTTACTCTCTTGCCTAGGCTGAATTGCAATAGTGTAATTTTAGCTCACTGCAACTTTGAACTCCTGAGCTCAAGCAGTCCTCCTGCCTCAGCCTCCCAAGTAGCTAGGACTACAGGCATGTGCCAACCTGCCCAAATAATTTTTTTAACTTTTTGTAGAGACAGGATTTGGCTTTGTTGCCTGAGCTGATCTCAACCTCTTGGCCTCAAGTGATCCTCCCATCTCAGCCTCCTGAAGTGCTGGGATTACAGGTGTCAGCCACTGCATTTGACCTATTTTTTTTTAAGCAGTCAGAAATTCGGTGAATATATTTTGTTTTAATGTCTGACAGAGCTAGTCTTCATCACAGTTATTCGTTTTTTGGTATTTTTCTGGCTATTCTTGCAGGTTTTTCTATGTAAATATTAGTTATCAATTTATGTAATGCATGTAAAAACTTATTGGCATTTTTATTGGGATTGCATTAAATCTATAAAGTAACTAAAGGAAAGTCAACATCTTTATAATGTTGAGTTGTTCTACCTGTTTATATAAGTCTATCTTTGTGACTTTTGGGAGTATTAAAAAATTTCCTCATATAAGTTTTGCACATATCCTGATATTTTTATTTCTAAGTATTCAATCTTCTTCAGTACTATTTAAACGAGTTTTATCATTATGCGCTCTAATTATTGTTTGTATGAAAGCTATGGCTTCTTGTCTGTTAGCTTTATATGGTATTACTTTACTGGACTTTTTAGTTAATTTTATTCTTGATTTGAGTTTTTCCAGCATTGTTGGCAAATAGAGATAATTTTACTTCCTCTTTACCAATCTTGCTTTGAATTGATTTATCATGCTGAATTGCAATGCCTAATACCTCTAGACAATGTTGAATAGTAGCAAAGATGGTGAGCATCTTTGCCTTGTTCCTATCTAAGTGAAAACCACTTTTAGTATTTCTCTTTTAAGTAAGATGCTGGCTAAAGCTGTGATGTTTGGATATAATAAGAAATATATACTTGGTTTCTGTCCCATTTTCTGGCATAGAGCTTCTAATCCTTTGGAATCTCCTGAGTTATAGGAGCAACTATTTTCCCCTAAAATCTATTTATTAGGAAGAATGACTTTTCAGAATTCTAGTAGCAAATCATACTATAGAAGTATCAGACAGAATTCTCGGCCTTGATATATTGTCTCAATGTTATAAGAAGTTGACTTCCAGATCAACATAGTCAACTGAAAAATATCCTTTGTTGATATCTTTCAGAGTCCAAGACATGATTTTCTGACTTTTAAATCTTTTATTTTCCACTTAGTGGCAGAAAGGAATCTCTATTATGCAAAACTAATCTGAAAATTAATAGTTACATAGTGGCTACAGAAAAATTTTCTGTAACGATGTTAAATGTGATTCTCTGTTCATTGCCTAATTCTCACCAAATAGAGCAAGTAATTAAGGTTTCATAAACACCTTTTAGAATAGGCAACATTACATCAGAGGAGAATGGTCATGTTATTTAAAGTTGGTTCACCACTCTGCACCTCATTCTTATGTAGAAACTTGACTGACCACAAACCCAAATATTTAACATTTAAATATCTGTGTATTCATTTTTATACTTCTTGAAAGTACTTCTAGGAG